AAGAGAGCAGGCGCTGACAGAGGTGTCAAATACTGGTTTTATTGGTTGAGGCCAGCTTACAATCTACACATGGCTAAGCAGGAAGGGGGCTGGGCAGCAGCAGAGCAGGCTCAGGGGTTGGGACGGGGTGGGGAGGGTAGGCAAGTGCCCAGCGCTCTCCGGGCCCAGGGAGGGCTCCTTCCTGCCTGCTGTGAAGAGGGCAGGGTGACACTTGGGGCAGCCGTCTACTGCTGAGCTTTTCTCCTCTGTCCTCGACAGGCCATGGGAGGGGTGCGCAAGAACCTGGGAATATGGCGTCAGGAAAAGCAGACAGGAAAACTCAGCTTCCTTCTGCTTTTTCAGGCCCGGATTCCATTTCTCACAGTGCCCAAGAGCACCGCAAAGACCTCCTTAGCATAGCAGTAAGGGCCAGGCTGTTGGGAAATCGGAAGCCACGGCCACGCCCCACAGGCTGTGAAGCTCCAGGCCCCAGCGTCCATTTAGCTGGGAGGACAGACAGACTCTATGGCCCCACGCTACTCTCATGCCAAGTGCTAAAAGCTTTAAGGCCTATCCCAACCCTCCTTTCCCTCCAGGGGCTGGCCACTCCTTAGAATGTTCTACCCAGCTCACTAGCATCCCGTGTGGGCCTTCAGCAACTCTGGCATGTCCATCATGTCCGTGGGTACCTGGCCTCGATCTCTGCCTCAGCCCGGGAGAAGGTACTAAACCTGACCATTCAGCCTTAGTCAAAAGGTCTGAAGGACGAAAGTCCGGCTCAGGGTATCTCGCTGCTTTGCCCCCACCTGGCAGGCCCCTAGGATGAGGAGAGCACTGTGGATGGCACACACCCAACACAGGACACGCACCTCAGCACCTCAGGTCATCTTTTAAAGGGAAAGCCCTGGCTGGCCACCTTCTGCCGGTGAATGGAGCAGGGTTCTGACGGCGGTGGAGGCACGCTCCGCGACAAGCAGCAGTCACCACACAGAGCCAGGGCCTCGCCACCCTCAGTTCCAGATGCGATGGAGGCGAGATCCCCGAGCCAAGCAGAGCCAGCCAGCGGGGCAGACACAGGTGCTCGGCCTCAGGCGGGAGGGCAGCAGGCGCTTTCACTCGCCCAACTGGGAGCCATCTGCGCTAACTAAAATTTCACTTTTAACTACCAACCTTTTCTTTGATTATTACCTGCTGTAAGTGTTCACGTCATAAAAACAGGAGAACACAGCCAGTACACACAGAACCTAAGCGACACAGGTTTTTGCTTTTCAGTACTGGGGACAGAACCTCGTGATGCTTGGCACAGCATTCAACGGTGACCAACGGTGGACTCACCTCCGCAGCCCTGTTACGGTTCTTAGGTGTCCCTGGAGAGTTCTGAGAACAAGGCTCGCAGCCACGGGTGCAGACTGTGTGGGCTGCAGTAGGGAAGTCCACTCTCCCTCTCACGAGGATATGGCCTCTGACTCTCTGAGAAAGGCCTCCTCCCCCTACCTGCACACCAGCGTTCTCCCAAGCCCCACCCCAGACCTGCTCCAGGGTGACCCTGTCCTGTTTCCAGCTCTCCAATAGCTCTGACTTTCTTCTGGGAAAGTCGGGTCTCTTAAACCGAGGGCAAAGAGTAACCGACACTCATGCCTTCTCATTAGTGACGTGTCTCTGTCCCAGAGGGACTCAGCCTTGAGGAGCTGCTCACGTGCAGAGGGGTAGACGCTACTGAACCTTTACTAGCTTAGATCGATTAACTTGGGACCAAAGAACCAGAAACACAGATCCAATCAAGAAATGACCAGCAGGACTTTGCAGGCAGAAAGACTTCCTGCAAGGAACCACTTCACAGGAGTGAAGATCTAACAGGCAGACAGAGGCCCTCATCCTTCTCCACTCGGTTAGAAACGCTGCTCTCAAGCCAGGCATGGTGGTGGCGCTCACCCTTGATCCCAGCACCCAGGAGGCAGAGGCGAGGCAGGCCTCTCTGAGTTCAAGGTCAGCCTGGTCTACAGAGCAAGTTCTAGAACAGTCAGAGAAACCCTGTCTGGAAAAACTGAAGTAAATAAAATACAGGTCTTTTCCAGTGCTGTCTAATTAAGTCAGGTGTTAGGGCTCAAAACTGGTCCTCTGTAAGTGACGATGAAACCTGGGTGGACAACACCTGGCCACCAGGGGAGGAAAAGCAATGACTTCAACTTCCTCCTTCCCAGAAGAGGCCCTGTGGCCAGCGAGAGACGTCTTCCCACTGGGCTTCCTTCCTAGGACACAGCCAGTATCTAAGCCCAGCTACCACTCCCTGAGCCGTCAAGGTACAGGGAGCCTCAGGGACAGGGCTCTTCAGCAAAGCTTCCAGTCAGCGACGGCCAAACTCACGGCCTGTGGACTCAAGTCAAGCAGGCACCCAGATACCACAGGTGAAGACGAAGGTGACAGGCATCACTCTCTCAGGCCCTCGGTCAAACTCCTCCCATCCCCCAGCACTAGGCTAGCAAGTTTCCGGGCTGGCACAAAAGCACAACACAGTTGCAGAGAGTGGGGAAGGACCCTGGGGACCGAGTACGGGCATCCTCTCCGATGTCAGCCAACCACTCTCAGTGGTACAACGTGAGATGGGAACAAGCTTCCTGGACACTGGGGCCCGCTCCTGCACAGTCCAGATGACAGGGGGTCACTACTGGGCCATCACGGTCGCCAGGGGAGACCGGCCCCACACATGGCGCAGAACAGGCAGCAGGCAGAAGTGCCTTTGGAAAGAGCCAGTGGCTTCCCAGACCCCACGCTGTCTGGCTGCACCATCCCGCTCCAGACCCCTTTGTCAACAAGAGGAATCTTCTGAAACACGGGTGAAGGAAAGCACTGTCAAGTACAGCCCCGTCTCTCCTTTTCCTCACAGTTTTTTTCTTCGAGTATTTACCCTTTAATTCTAAATCTTATCTCAATGAGGACACACTGAGAGTACACTTCAAAATCAGCAAAATCAAGCCGGGCAGTGGTGGCACACACCTTTAATCCCAGCACTGGGGAGGCAGAGGCAGATGGATCTCTGTGAGTTTGAGGCCAGCCTGGTCTACAGGATGAATTCCAGGCCAGCCTCCAAAGCCACAGAGAAACCCTGTCTCGAAAAACAAACAAAAAAAAAAAAAAAAAAAAAAAAAAAAAGAGAGAGAGAAAAGAAAATAGCAAAATCAGCCCACTGAACACAAACCACACTGTTTAGCTTAGCCTGGGGCGGGGAAGAGTCACGCCTTTAAAAACCCAGTACTTGTTGGGAGGCAGAGACAGACAGATCTCTGAGTTAGAGGTCAGTCTGGTCTACAAAGTGAGTTCTAGGCCAGCCAGGGATACACAGAGTAACCTGTCCAGGGCTGGGGGGGGCGGAATCACAGTGCTCCTTCAGGCCTCTCTGTGACCCGGGAGGGGCACGTGGCTCAGGCTGAGCTATTTTTAGAATGCAGATGGGACTCCAGGCACATGCCAGGGTGGAATGGAAATGAGAAATGAGTGAAGGACGGCGAGCTAAACACAGGGCAGCAGGCTGCCCAAGAGCTCAGCCCCAATCTGTGCTGCAGGACCGGCCTCCAGTGGGTGCTGCACCAGAGGAGGGAGGGCAGGGGTCAGCCCAGAGGCCCAGAGCCCGACTCCTAATCCACACGCTATCTCTTTGCCCCCAAGGAACCTGGCTATGCAGCGACTTTACACACTACTCTGACGCACTCCTGGCCGCAGTGGGCCACCACGCTCCCTGGCGCTGCAGGAAGCAAGGCCTCTAGTGGCCTCCCTGTTGTGCACACTGACCAGAAGCCCTGTGGCCAGACTCTAGGCGTTCGGCAGCCTCCTGGGCAGTGACATGCCCACAGTGCTCAGCCAGGTGTGTGGGGGCGGCTTTCCCCAGGCAGCACTGACAGGGCAGGAGCACACTTGTGGAAACCAAACCGTCAGGGCTCTTGTCTGAGTGGCTGCAGTTACTGGGATACTACAGAAAAATCCAACATGGCTGACTCATGTTCTCTCCCACCCCACCTCAGAAAAAGACAACGGAGCCCAGGCTACTATTAACTGGTAACAATTCTCCTGCCTTGGCCTCCTAAATATTGAGATTATAAACATTAATCTGGGATTAAACTATGCCTGGCTTCTTGCTTACTCTCGTATCAGACATGCAAAGTTAATTCCTGGCTCATAGAGATCACATGACCTCAGTGGTGTTTCCTCAATGTTCAAAAATCAGAAACAGCAGGGCAGTGGTGGGGCGCGCGCACCTTTAATCCCAGTATTTAGGGCAGCAGAGGCTGGTGAGATCTCTGTGAGTTCGAAGCCAGCCTGGTCTACAGAGTGAGTTCCAGGACAGCCAGGCCTACACAGAGAAACCCTGTCTCAAAAAGTCAACCAACCAATCAATCAAACAAAAAGCCATTCTAAGCATCATTTTCTACCCAAGTGTGGTGGACTGTAGCAGGTATTTCAGCAGCAACCTAGTCTAGGAAATGCGGTCCCTGTGAGCAGAGACTGAGCACAGGAACCCATTCCCACAAAGCCCGGGAGAGGCAAGCATGGAAAGTTAGTGGCAACTCCGTGTCCCTGACAGTCTGGAGCCCTGGTGGTTTCCTTTTGTTCTTTGCAGCTCCCCGCAGAGCTCCATCGCTGTGCACTCAAGCAGGGCCACGTCCAGACCACGTGGCTTGGGATTATGTCTCCTCTCTGTGTGTGGACACGACTCTAGAACGCCAGGCAACAAGCAAGAGTCTACAAGCGGAACCCACAAGAGCACGTTGGTCTCTGGACTCAGATTCCACAGGGCTGTCTCTACCCACTGGACTCTACCCTGGGAGGCCATTACTGTCCTTCAGGTCTGAGAGCGTCCATGACCCCACCCACCTACACTGAGCTGGGATCTGTGTGTCAACATTGGGGATAAAATGCAAATCAGATCCATGTAAAATTTAAAGTTCACCAGCTGACACCCAAACGTGTTGAGTATTGATGACTCAAGTCACCACATCTATCCCTCAAGAGGAACGAAGAGCAAAAGCTTTTCAAAGTTTGAGTATTTATTAGTTTTAAATAAAGAGGAGTACTATTTCAATTTCACATCTTGGCTACGTTTCAACACAGGCAATGCCACAGAGTGAGCCCCACACTAACCCAGGCATCAGCTCCTCCCACCCTCCCTGCTCAAGGTCCAAGACCTTTTCCTTCCCAAATAAACACCACAACTGGCAGATGAGCTCAGCACAAAACACCAACAGGAGTCTACAGCAGGCCAGAGGGTCACTAGTGAGCCCCTCCCACAGATGGCCTTTCGCCAGCATTCTGAGGGTCACTAGTGAGCCCTTCCCAGGGATGGCCTTTCATTCGCCAGCCTTCTGAGCATGCTCTTGCTGCAACCCTCGGCACAGACTCCGACCTCAGAGGCACACTTCCCCTGTCTCCTCTCCCCAGGACCTCAGTGGGGCTTCTCAGCAGGGGACAGGACCGTGCAACGTGGCTTCAAGTCCAGGTCAGCGTGGTGTAAGGCATACAAGGGTAAGAGAGGCCATGTCAGCAACGAATAGCGTAATGGAAAAAATTCCCAGCCAGCAGGACAGACACGGTGCTTGATGGTCCAGTTTCTGAGACAGGGAAGGAATCCAGTTTAAAGTCTACTGTGAACACATCGGCGAGCAGAATTCAATTTCTAGCACTGTTTCTTTGGCTCTGGCTGAGGCCATTTGCTCCAGGCTTGGTAACAGAAAAGGAAACAGGTTTCTTGGCATGGAAACAGCCTTCGGAGAAGGCCAGGGTCCCAGGGGCAAGAGGAAGATGGCTAAGCTCACCGTGGCTGGGAAACAGAGGACAGAGAAACCTGCCCAGTCACTAGCATTGAAACAAACACGTAAAGTGTGAGGGACCTTAAACTAGAAATACCTGGAATAAAAAATAAAGTAAAAACAAAAACAAAACAGAAAGCAAAACTCTGAAAAACTGAAGAGTCAAGATGCTCTTTCTAAATCACTCATTTACATGTCAATGTACCATGTCCAGACAAACGTATCCTGAAGGGACACTGCCACCCCACGGGGCTCGACAGCACACCACAGGACAGATCCCTACAAAGTTTCATCTCACATGGCTATCTTTTAATGGAAAAAAAGATGAGAAAATACCTGGCCAGGCTGGGATGAGGCAAATGGGCCGCTTCAGAACCCAAGAGGGAGGGAGAAGAGTTCCCTCCTTCAGAGGGCGGGGTGAGCGAGGGGGACAGAGCATGCAGGAAAGTACCTGGGAGTCACATCCCAGCCCCACCCTCAGGAAAGAGAGAAAGTTCCCATCGCCCCACCCCCACCCGCATCACTCCACACCCCCGCAGCACCTCAGTGTGCCCTCTCTGCTGCCCACCACGCCTGGGGAAAGAGGAGGCTTCGAGAAGGGAGGGAGGTGAGGAGAGCCACACTTCAGTTTGGTTTCCACTCTCCGGCTCTTACAGGAAGTCTGCAGTCATCTGATGCCCGACACAGAGCTGGGGTATGAGGTGGCCACCACAGGGGTGCCATTGTTGGCAGAGCAGCCTTGCCTCAACGTCTCAAAGTAGGAAGCCTGCACGGGCTTGTGGTGCTGCAGCGCTTTTATGGCGTCTTCTATTGTAAACCACTCTCTCTTCCTTCCTGTGGAGGCAGAGGGGAAACAGACAACCTGAGGACAGTGAGCACAGTCCTGCGAGGCGAGGACTCGGGAACATTCCAGCCAGGCTTCATGCGGCTCTCTGGAGGTGAAGGCAGGAGGAGCAGGAACTGAAGGCCATCCTTGGCTACCCAGGCAACCCAAGGTCATCCTGGGCTACCTGAGAGCCTCCTTCAACCCCATGCTCCATGTCCCAAAGCTTCTCAATGTTCTTGTGCTCGCTTTCATTACACATGTAAAGCCAGCGTGCCATACAACCCAAATGTCCTAGGGCATCAACTGCGGAGACGGGCTGGGACACACCTATCACACCAGCACCCCCAGGGCTCTGAGCGCATCAGCCGCGCCTTCAAGGAGGGTCCAGCCTCCTCGTCTTTGCAGACACCAGAGCAGCATCAGCTGCAATATCCTCGGGATGCTTGACTTAGAGTTTGCTATCATCTTCCTTTTATTAAAACACCTGAGAGATGGATCTGCCTGCCACAGAAAATAACGGGCTTGCTGAGATGGATCTGCCTGCCACAGAAAATAACGGGCTTGCTGAGATGGCTCGGGGTAAAGGTGCAGACTGGGCAGGTCCGGTGACCCAGTTCAAGCTCTGAAACCACATAAAACTGAAGACGAGAACTGACTACACAGATACTCTCTGACTCCATGTGCACACCACGGCAAGAGTACCCACGTGGCAGGCAATGGTGGCGCACGCCTTTAACCCCAGCACTCGGGAGGTAGAGGCGGGCAGATCTCTGTGAGTTCAAGGCCAGCCTGGTCTACGCAGCAGAGTCCAAGGACAGCCAGGGCTACACAGAAAAACCTTGTCTCAAAAAACCAAAAACAAACAATAAAAGGAGTCCACCCACATGCACATACAACACACAAGCAAACATAGAAAAAAGAAAACACAAAACACCCAATTTAACACATTACTATTTTGAACCTACTTTTATTAAAATTGATGTTTTATTTTATTTTTTTAAGGCAAGGTCTTTTCTATGTAGCCCTGGTGTCTTTCTGGAACCTGCTTTATAGACCGGCTGGCCCTAAACTCACAGAGATCCTCCTGCCTTTGCCTCCAGAGTGCTGGGACTAAAGGGTTAGCCACCGTGACTGGCTTTCTTTCCTCCTACAAACACCTTCTTCTGGCTCTGTGGGCAGGAAAACATGACTGCTTCAAAATGGAGCCGCAGAGACGGAGAGCTCAGTGACTGGTCACGAGGCTTCTACTTCTGACAGTGCAGAGAAATACAAGTAGATAAAATACAGCCCTCACGGCCAGGAGCAAGGCCATGGAGTCAGTGATGTGCTGGACCCCAGCACATCACTGGCTCCAACAAACTGGGCAGGACTGGTCAAGACTGAAATCTGCTCTTTTTTCTTTTCAGATTTACTTATTTCTGTGTACAAGGGTATCTGTTCAAAGGATATAACAGAATAGCCCTTTTTAGGAGGGTCCAATTTTATTTTAGGAACATTTCTAAATTTTATAGAACATGTTTCCATGTATTGACCCTATTTCCAACCTCTGCTGCTGCTGCTGCTTTTTTGGGGGGTGGGGGGGAGGAGGCGAGACAGTTCAAGACAGGGTTTCTCTGCGTAGCTCTGGCTGTTCTGGAACTTACTATGAAGACCAGACTGGCCTTGAACTCAGAGATCTGCCTGCCTCTGCCTCCCACATGCGTCACCACTGCGTGGTCTCAGCTTCTTCTTAGACACAGCAAACGCTGCCACCCTCAGCTTCCAGACGCACCCAGCTTGCTCAGCACACAACACTCCAGTGTCTCCCTGCCAGCAGCAGGGCGGTGCCTGGACACAACGGGCTGGTCCTGGAGTGACTTACCAATGTTCACCGAGTCTTCCCAGTCTTCCAGCACTTCTGTGACAATAAGCACGTACACGTATGTCCTGTGCTTCCTCTCCTGGTTCTGAAGGGCACAGAAAAAGGAAAGGGAGAGGCTGTCCTCAGCGGGTTGAGATGCTTCAAGAAAGATTGTTATACAACGCCCTCTGCTTTTGCTGTTGGGTCTCAAGACAGTTCCACCAGAACAGAGAGCAGAACACCCCTTGAACAGACTTTTGGTTTTTCGAGACAGGGTTTCTCTGTGACTTTGGAACCTGTCCTGGAACTTGCTCTGTAGACCAGGCTGGCCTCGAACTCAGAGATCCGCCTGCCTCTGCCTCCTGAGTGCTGGGATTAAAGGCATGTGTCCTGGCGGACAGACTTTTAGCAGAGAGAGAGAGAGGAGAGAGAGGAGAGAGAGAGAGAGAGAGAGAGAGAGAGAGAGAGAGAGAGAGAGACAGAGAGAGAGAGAGAGAGAGAGAGAGAGAGAGAGAGAGAGAGAGAGAGAGAGAGAGAGAGAGAGAGAGAGAGAGAGAGAGAGAGAGAGAGAGAGAGAGAGAGAGAGAGAGAGAGAGAGAGAGAGAGAGAGAGAGAGAGAGAGAGAGAGAGAGAGAGAGAGAGAGAGAGCTCACCCACGCCCAAGAAGACCAGGTGTCTGGTCTGATCTTCTGGAGTTGGGAGTTAGAGGTAGATGCTAGCCACCAGACTTGGGTGCTGGGAATTGAACGCAGGTTGTCTAAAAAAACATCAATTTTTTTGTTTGTTTTTTTTTGAGACAGGGTTTCTCTGTGTAGCTTTGGAGGCTGTTCTGGAACACACTCTGTAGACCAGGCTGGCCTCAAACTCACAGAGATCCACCTGCCTCTGCCTCGAGTGCTGGGATTAAAGGAGTGCACCACCACCTGGTGCTTTTTTTTTTTTTTTTTTTTTTTTTGGACAGGGTCTCTACATAACCCTGGCTGGCCTGGAAATTGCTATGTAGACTAGGGGGACCTTGAATTCACAGAGACCCTCTTGCTGCCTGTGTCTTCCAGGTGTTACAGGGATTAAAGGCATGCCACCATGCCCCATTAACAAGTTTTGCTTTTTCTTTTTCTTTTGGAATAGGGTATCTCTTTACATAGTCCTGGCTGTCCTACAACTCATTTTGTAGACCAGACTGGCCTCGATCTGCCTGCCTCTGCCTCATGAGTACTGGGATTAAAGGTGTGCACCACCATGCCTGCTTGGCAAGCACTCTTAATGGCTGAGCCATCTGACTAGCCCGTGGCCAGACTCTTCAAGTCTAAGAGTCTAAGTTTTACACCCTTCCTTCTTCTCCTAACCACAACCTCACAGGAGCGTTGTACTTGGGAGTGTACAGATTGTGTATCAGGGCCACCGTGCCAGCCAGCTAAGGCCTGCATTCTGTCCCCTACTGTGCTGACCCCGTTCCTCTCTGCTCCCATCTCGCACTTCCTGACCACCTTTCACGTCCACTCTTCCTGTCTTCTCTATTCTACTTCCCCTCACCTTGGGAGCGCAGGAGGAAAGTCAACAAGGGGATAAACGATATTCTGTACACGCCTGGGGTCCAAATTTAACTCCAGAACCCATTAAAAAGCTGGGCATAGAGGTTAAGCTTGTAATCTCGGACTGGGGAAGAGGGAACAGGGGGATCCCTGGCTCAACCCAGCCTATCTGATGAGCTCCAGGCCTGTGAAGTCATGCTCAGGCCCCACAGACATACTCACAGCATCCGCACAAACACAAGCCAGTAGAGAATGCTAGTGCTGCCTCTTCTGACACTCAGGGAGACACGGGAGGCCTTTCCAGTCAGGACAATGGCTAATTTAATGACTCCAGAGCAAAGGTAGTAAAAGACTTACCTCAAAAATTCCAACCAACCTTCCCAGCGTCCCTTTTACTCCAGCCTGAAAGACAGAGAAAGAAGAACGACATAGTGACACATGCTGCTCTTTCCAGACGACTTGGGGCCCAGCATCCATGTCAGGACAGACAGACAGACAGACAGACAGACACACACACACACACACATACACACGTACGTGCACACTTTCTTGCTCTCTCTGGGGGGGTCGAGGGATGACAGATGACACTCAGGCCTGTCAGCTCATTTATACCTACATTTCCTGTATGTCACACAGAGAGTGGTCACAGCAAGGCACACTGGAAGAAGACACACTACTGAAGAGCTTTGCAAACAGCTATGCCAAAACCATTCTGAGGTGCTAAATTCACGTTTTATTCATGAAACGAGGTGGGTACCAGAGGGTCAGAGGGCCAGCAATGCCCAGGCGGGGGTGCAAGCATGGTCCCTGACAGCAAGAGTCTTAACTGACATGCTCCTGGCAGTCTGTGTCCAAAAGACTGCAGCGGAGCTCAGAACCCTAAGGACCCACAAACCGTAAGCCATTGAAACCACCAGCATACGGCTCTCCTGATGGCACGTCATGACAGAGATTAACCATGCTAGGAATAGGAGAGTGCATCTGCGTGGCCATTTCCGCTTTCTTATTACACATTCTTCCTGTCCGAGGCCTGCCTGACTGCTGGTGTCTCTTTGAATTCTTAAGTGAGAGCATCTCAATCCTTTCTAATTAACTGACTTTTCCCGTCCATCCCCATCCCATCACGTGTGCTTTGGCTTCCACCTTCCCTCCCTTACAAGTTAATTTTTAATTTATGTGTATGTGGGGTGTGTGTGTGTGTGCGTGTGTACGTGTATGTGTATGTATGTATGGTTTCTTTATGTAGCCCAGGCTGTCCGAGAACCCACTCTGAAGATCAGGCTGGCCTCTATTAACTCAGAGATTCACCTGCCTCTGCTTCCTGGGTGCTGGGATTAAAGGTATAGACTACCACGCCCAGTTTAGAAACTTTTTTCTTTAGTAATTTAAGACAATGTCTCATTTTGTAGCCTAGGCCCACAGAGATCCACCTGCCTGTGATAGGTTAAAGGTGGCACCACCACTGTCAGCACCACAGGGCTGTTTTCTTAAAATTCTTTTCTTTTCTTTTTTTTGTCCGAGACAGGGTTTCTCTGTGTTGTTTTGGAGGCTGCCCTGGAACTTGCTCTGTAGACCAGGCTGGCCTCAAACTCACAGAGATCCGCCTGCCTCTGCCTCCCGAGTGCTGGGATTAAAGGCGTGCACCACCAATGCCCAGCTGGGTCTTAAGATTCTTAGGAGGTACTTAATAAGAGAAACAAAAGAGAGTGATGTAAACTAGAGTCTAGCAGGTGGTGGCGGCGCACACCTTTAATTCCAGCTTTTGGGAGGCAGAGGCAGGTGGATCTCTGTGAGGCCAGCTTGGTCTACAGAGGGAGTTTTATGACAACTAGCTTTACATAGAGAGACGCTGTCGTTAGAAAAAAAGAAGGCTGTATTCCTGGGTGACTTGTATTTTGAAATTGATCTGTTCTCTCTCAGGGAATCCTCAGGTCTGTTCTATGTGCTCACCTTCCAGGCTCTTGGTAAGGTGCATAGAACCACCTTAGTCTCTCAAGTCAGCTATTGCATGAGCTCGCCAGAGAGAGGCCTGAACAAAGCTATGCTCTTGCAAACCCAACTAGAAAGCCAGCTAGCTCTGATGCCAGCAGCATGATCACATGTCGCCTCTGGACTTGTGTCACTTGGGTCTCTGCCACCGACCCCACTGGTAAGGCCTGGAGGAGCCTGCTGGGGGAGGGGTCACAGGAGCCACTGCTCCCATGGTTCTGTGCTCTCTCCAGCAGCAGCCATCTAGCTAATGCGCATGCGTCTTCAAATGGTCTCCAACATGAAAATGACAAATCAGCCTGTGATCGAGATATTTTAAAGGCTTCTTTAGTTTGCTTTTATGTACATGAATATGTGCCTGCATAGGTCAGAGAAAGCATCAGGTCCCCAGAACTGGGTTACAATACAGACTGCTGTGTGCTGCCACGTGGGCACTGGGAACCTGAAGCCTGTTTTCTCTGCAAGGGCAATAGTGCAGTCCCTTAATGTACAATTTTGACAATGTAAATAATAACTGTTTTCTTTTTTAGTCAAGGGCTCATTAGTCCAGCTTGGTCTTTATCTCCCTGTGGAGCTGAGATAACCCTGAACTCTAACCTTCCTGCCTTCACCTCCCAAATGCTGGGTTACAGGCATGATGCCCTGTTTGTGTGGTCAGGGGATGGTCCCCGGGGTTTCATGCATGCCAGAGGAGCACTCATGGCCTGAACCACAGCAGTGCGCACACACTTCGTCAGAAGAGGCTGGACGTAGTATAACAGCATTTTTCAGAAAGATAAATGCATTCTTGTGAAGCATAGTATGATTCAAATATTGCTGTCACCTGTACTTTTTTATTGTTTGGTTTTTTGAGACAGGGTTTCTCTATGGCTTTGGAGGCTGTCCTGGAACTCGCTCTGTAGACCAGGCTGGCCTCGAACTCACAGAGATCTGCCTGCCTCTGCCTCCCAAGTGCTGGGATTAAGGGCGTGTCACCTGTACTTTTAATTTACCAGGGCATCCACCCACTTGGCAGAGGCCTGCCTAACGTGAGCCCACCACCATTCTACACGCACAAGCAGAGACACACCAAACGCTGTGGCCATGCCATCAGCACCTGGAGGAGAGGCAGGCAGATCTGTGACCTTGAGGCCAGCCTGGTCTACATAGTGTGTTTCGGGACAGCCAGGGCTACACGGTGAGATTTTATCTCAAACAAGCAAGCAAGTACACAAACCCAAACAGAACACTGTATACATAATAAATAAATAAACCTTTAAAACAAACAAACAAAAAAACTGGGACTTAGCTGGGCGTTGGTGGCGCACGCCTTTAATCCCAGCACTCGGGAGGCAGAGGCAGGCGGATCTCTGTGAGTTCGAGACCAGCCTGGACTACCAAGTGAGTTCCAGGACAGCCTCCAAAGCCACAGAGAAACCCTGTCTCAAAAAACCAAAAACCAAAAACCAAAAACCAAAAACAAACAAACAAACAAAAAACCTGGGACTTAATGGTTTCTTAGAGGAAATGCCCTTAATGTCTGTAATTCAAACATTTAGGAAACTGAGGCAGAAGGACTGTTGTAAGTTTGAGAACAACCTGGGTCTCCCTGTCTGAAACAACAATGAGGAAGACAAAAAAGGATTTCAGGACTGAAGAGCAGCTCAGGTGGGGTGTCAGCCTAGCATGGAGTCTGGGTGTGACCCCAGCACCACATACAATGGTGGAGAGCAGAAAGACTTTTACCCACTCTAATGCTAGTGGAGGAAGGTTCTCCACAGAGAGATCCCCTGGGGCCATTCCCCTAAACTCCTGATGTTCTCACAGTTCTCAGAAGCCAGCTCTCAACTGTGAACTCGGGTGTTTCTGCCACCACATGACTGGGAGTGCAGGTCCCTGTGTACAGGCGTCAGGCACAGCATCTGACGCCCGCCTGGCTCAGACATTTGACACAGACACGCGTAACTTGAGTGCAGTCAGGTGCTGGTGCAGACTTGTTGCCGTCACTGAAACACTAAGAACCTGCCCTCCATCATCCATGAAGCAGAGACCAACGGGGCGTCCTTGAACTGCAATGGCACAGGCAAGAGCTGGGGACACGGGCAGGGTTAGACTGCTGGTCCAGTCCTGCAGCCCAACTCCCAACGGTGCAAAAACAGCCAAACACAAACCCACCCCAGCAAATGTGCTGGGCCCATTCTAGTATTTTCTATCTAGGCAACAAGAATAAACTACCTTTTTATTTATTGTTGTTATTACTATTACTATTTCTGTTTATTTGAGGCAAGATCCTCCTGCTGGGCAGGGGTGGCACAAGTCTTTAATCCCAGCATTCAGGAGGTAGAGGCAGGCGGATCTCTGTGAGTCTGAGGCCAGTCTGTCTATAGAGAGAGTTCCAGGACAGCCAGGGCTTTAAAGCAGAAAAAGGCAGTTTTCTATGGAAGATGAAGTGCTCTAAAGACAAAATTGGAACGAAGAAAAGCTGTGCATCAAAGGCAGAAAGCTCAGTCCCAAAAGGAGCTCCTGGGGGCAGCTCTAATTCAGGTGCCTGCAAGACACCCAGAAACAGTGCAGGGTCATCAAACAGTGCAGGGTCATCAGACAGTGCACGGTCATCAGCACACTCGGCGGCCTGGCCTGTGCATCACTGGCAACTCCACAGGAAAAGGACCCCACTGAGGACACCCAGAAATAAAAGGTCAGCAGAGGGCCAGGGGAAGCAGCCCACACTGCTTCCTCTTAGATGAACTGTTTTAAGCATCAAAGGGGGAGAGGCTGGAGAGGAGGCTCAGGCTCAGGCTCAGGGTCAGCAGCCATTATTGCAGAGGATCTGGGTTTGTTCCCAGCACCACATCAGGAAGCTCACTGCTGCCTGTAACTCCAGTTTTAAGGGATTTTATGCCTCCTGGGCCCCTGTAGGTACTTAAACTCATATGACACACACATTCATATAGGTATATCCACATACATAAAAAATAAACCTCTTTTAAAAACAGAAATTAGCCGGGCGGTGGAGGCGCACGCCTTTAATCCCAGCACTCGGGAGGCAGAGGCAGGCGGATCTCTGTGAGTTCGAGGTCAGGCTGGACCGATAGCCTCCAAAACAATACAGAGAAACCCTGTCTCGTAAAAACAAACAAACAAAAAAAAGAAATTATAAAATATCCCTATTGTCACTGGCTGGCCATTATCAAATATTAAAATGAAATCCAAGGGTTTAAGAAAGTTTATATTTCTTACTTAGTTTGTATGTGCCCAAGCCACAGCGTGTATGGAGGTCGGGGGACAGCTTTTGGGGGTAGGTCCTCTTCTTCCACTATGTGCATCTGAGGTGTTGAACACAGGCTGTCGGACTTGGTGGCAGGCAGGTGCCTTGGCCCCGAGCCACCTTGCTGGTCCCAGCAATAACATCACTACTATTAAAGCCAAGCCCC